GGCGACTTGAACCGCGCGGGAAACAGACAATAGAGATTAGCGCTTGTCGGTTCCTTGTCCTTGTCTGTTTGACGCGCTGTTCCAATCACCACGGTGCCATTAACTCCAATGAGAGTGCCATAAAGTCAAATCAGCCATTTCAGCAGCTTGGGCTGCATAGTTGCCGCGGCCACCACGTGATGCCGCCACGTTTCTGCTAGCATGGTGAAGATCGCACTGCGCGTTCGAAGATCAAAAGAAATGTGCAAGGTGATGACGCTTGATGATGAACGGACGCTTCTTCTCGCTCCTTGCTCGTGGAGCGAGATAAGAATGAGAGCAATTACAGCTCGGGACAGGATCTTCTCGTCCGATTCTATGGCGGCAGTCGATTCACGAGAGAGAGAGAACACAACTTTATTGTCGATTCACGAGGCAGCCGACTTTTCTTAAACGACGATTTCCGGGAAAAGTGTTGCAGGGCTCTTTTAAGAGTTACACTGAATACCTATCACAGCATAGCTTAGAGGGGTACGGACACAAACAATTTGGTGCATTTTGTTCTTCACTTGGTAGTATGCTGCTGGAGTTCTATTATTCATAATACGGTACATCGCGTGCATGCACCAGCACACCACGGATGATTAATTACAGTCTGTTCTATTTATAACACAAGCGTGCGATACGCAGGTGTCAAGCAGGCTATCCCAGTCGTGAAATCCTGTGTCCACACCCCTTTACTATAAGGCCCCAGTAAATGTAGGGATCAAATTTCATTCACTGAGTTGATTGAAAGATTGTGAGCTGCAGGGATCTTTGTGGCGCCTGCCAGAGCATATCAGGCGCGTACGACCGCCCGGCTCCCTAAAGTGCGCCGCACCAACTGGCGGGCTGACGTGGACGCCAAGCGAGCTGAGCTGAAGAGGACCCACCGCGAAAGTTAATACGCATCCTTCCGCGTTATTGTAAAAATACATAGAAAACATTCTTGCGCTTCTAGAACTTGGCATTCATGCGGGAAGTGGGATGTGATAAGAGACCGCCTTATGGGGAATTCGTGTTCCAGCTGCGACACTCCTTCCGTTGTTGCAACTGCGGACTGCACTGCACTCTTGCGCTCAGAGCGTGACGCGGGTTTTTCGTATCTCATCAAACCGGACGCAAAGTCTCGGCCTGATTTATGTGTTCCTCCTACATGACAATCAAACCGTTATTGATGTGGCTTTACACAAAATTACATGTGTTCGAGCTATTGCAGAACAAAGAAAGAACTATTGTTGTTCTAGAAAGAAACGAGAAACGCGTAAACTGGCGAAAACCAAATGTTTTGCGTGTTTTCCATTTTCGACCTAGCTACCATAAAAAGTGACAGTATCCCTGTACTTAACTGTCTTTTTCGGTGGTATCCTGATTGAGACAAAAGCGCGATTCATCGAGCAAAGCAACGCTGTCGTTTAGCGCCTATCTGCCACAATTCACTGTACGCTAACTCACCGCAGTCGAGAGGGGCGAGGTAACCGCAATTAGTACCCTTTCCTTTCCTATGAAAGCCAAACAGATCCACACAATTCGCCGGGTACGCCTGTCTTCCGATAAATACGAGAAAAACCAAAAAAATGAACAGGCGAATCGGCGGCGCACCGCGTCAGCTCCTTGAAGCAAACACTCGGTTTACCCGCTCTTCGCCGTGAGAACACCGCTCGTCGGGCCTGGAAGAGCGCGGCGCTCAATCAATGCCCACCTCTGACCTCCCTGACTCGACCCGACCAAGCAGCCGCTAGCGCTATTCGCCGGAAGAGGCTAAGAAAAAAAAAAGATATTCAAACGCCGCACAAGGTCTCATGCGGTGCTGGTTTTGCACCGATCACTTGGCTCTTCCGCTTGCTGCTATCCACCCCTTCACTTTTATTTCGCCTGCACTCGCCTCCTGTGATTCGTACTGCACAGCGTGTAGGCGTGTGAGAAAAACTCAACCACGGTACGATGAAAACACAGGCATTATAGCCTACTTCCACGGCGTTACACTAACAATATTTAAGCGCAAAAAAAAAAGATGCGCACGGTGAAAAAGACGTGAGGCGCTAGGGTGCTAACTCGCAACACTTATTTAGAAGCGCGCAGCGGAATATGGCAGCTCGGTATCGCACGACATGCAAGACCGGAAAACAATGACCGACCGCTTAGCTATATAGTAACTCTTTCGGAGTATAAAGCAAACGATTGCTCCGACGCGCAGTTATCTCCTAAAACTATCAGTACTTCGGCTTCGATGAAACGTACTGAACTTTCGTACAGCTGAGAACAATACGAAAAACAAGACTAGTACGGATACTGTCGATTAAACAAAGTGTAACAAATGAGAGCCCAATGGTGCCACGTCTTTTCCGCCATCCTCGTTTGATTACGCGCTTGAAGACTATTAGCCGTGTCTAGCCAACATTTCCGAACACCCACGTTAGCGTTCAGTGCAACCTCGTAGGAGTGGCTAGCTTTGTTATGCAGTTAATTTAGTCATAAAACGTCCCAGGAAACCACCCGAAGACTGTTCCTATGTTTGTGTATTGCAGGCTGAGCGGAATATAAAATAACACGTGCCATTATTTATTCCTACTGCACGGTTGGTAGAGAGCTGCTTTTCGATTGGCCTGCAGCATCAATTAAATAGAAGCTCCAATAGCATTCCACAGCATTGCAGTAGAGGAGCGTCTTACGAATCACTGCACTCGATGACAGGTCCACCACTGGCTGATATGAGCGCGTAAGCTTACATTCGTCCCCATCGACGAAGACCAAAATCCTGCGCGAGTACGCGCACAAAATGCATCGACCACCGGGTCTGTCACATTTTGGGGAAAGTGCTTCTGTCATCGCTGCTGAATAAACGAGACATTGGCAAGCCTGTCCGACTCAACCACATTACCGACAATACAGGCGCCAACTTTCAAGTAGGCTATATTTTCAGAAAGGCAAAATATTAACGTGCATCCGGTCATGCCCAATGACTTCGCATAAATAACCTGTAATTCACTCTCTCCGCTCACAACCCTGAAACCAGCCAATCTAGTTCCTTCACCGGCAAGTATAATACGGGTGGCTTATGCCCTTGGACGCATGACCAGATCTATGTAGTCTTTCTCAAGATAAACGTCAGTTCAGAGTTATCGTCTCTCTAACCAGTGAGTGCGTGTGTGTTTTTGTGCTTTGCCACAATGCATCCTCACTAAGTAGTTCGGCTCTCCTAACTACAACGATTCCGTCAGCGCGCTATGAGGATGTGCCACGGGGACGACACCTTTTCACGACAACCGGCTGTCCTCGAATGCTTGCGGCCGGCTCCCGCTCTCAAGCTGTGAACAGGCGCGCAATTACTGCCGCAATATCCCGCCACGCAACTGATGCTCTTGTGGGCCACAAAACGTGAGAGCCTGCTGTGGTGTGCACGAAGCAGAGCATAATCTGCTCTGCGCTTTGCTTCTTTAGCCAGGGAATGCGAAGCACATGTCTTTGCATCAATGTCCTTGCCTGCGATAATACTTCGCCTCTTCATTGCGAACTACGGAGAGACAACGCACGCCGAACGGTTAAAGCGGCGTCACGAATTAACAATGTGGACACTGGTGCGTGATTACGGTGACTGGCAGCCGGTGATCGTCCGGTGATGAGAATCACTCGACGGTTCTGCGACCTTTGCTGCTATCGCAAAATTTTTCAGATGGCCTTCAAGAAAAAGGCAAATATGAGTGTGGCATGTATGAAAGCAGTTATCTTAAGCATGCGGTGATGCGAGAACTAGCGTTTGCAACAACACAAATTTAACGTGGTCAAATGTGGATAGCTGCCACGAGTGCCTAAAGCGTTTCGCTAGGATCGAAGCATGACCACTGTGACCGATAATTATACCCTCGATCTCCTTCACAGCAAGTGTGGTTATATTAAAAAACAATAATAACTTTTATGACACTGTTAGTAGAGCATGTTTTCTTTTAACTGACGCAATGTGACAGCGCACACACACACACAAAAAAAACATAGCATGCAGAGAAATATCCCTTAAACTCGCCACATACATGAACGAGTAAATATATAGGTGCACAGCAGTACTGGTCAGTCGGTCAGTGATTTCATTTGTCTTCTGCGTGAATACACCGAAGTATAGTAACCATAACTACTAACGTTGATCCCGCTAAATACAAGATATTTAATATACGACATCTGCTACCTCATAGCACCAACGTCGAGGCATCGGAGTATAAAGTACATATAAATCAAGTTACTGCATTCCATGACACTTTTGCTTATATTCAGCGCTAGCTCTAGTGACTTGGATGCGCTAACTGGATTTTACGTATAGCAAACTCTAGATTTAATCTCGGGAACATAGCTCTGGTTCAACTTATTCGTTACTGCGTCACGAAACACAACTTAGAGGACGCAAAACGGTGCATCGCTAGTATCACACGGCTTTCCTATTCGCCGTACGCGCGCGTCCACTGAGGTGCTGTGATTTCAGAATTTGCGTTACCCTTTTCCCACCCCAATGTACTGCACCGACGCGACTTTTGAAACAACGCTACATATGCTTAGCCTTACTACGTGCCCGTGTAGAAACTAGAATAAATGAGCGCAATTGACAAGGTTGACATTAGTGTAGCTTGTCAGTAGCCAGTTCGGCGATTACCAAACTAATGAAAACATACAGGACTTCAGGAACACCTGCGAGCTCTTAGTGACTCCCCCTCAGTTATTTTTTGCACCTTTATTCTTAATCTGTGCTACATAACGTACTCCTCTCCTAGTGTGGGGTAGTCAGCCAGACACACCCTATTACTCTCGCAGCCTGGGACGAAAGGGATCACATGATCTAATCAGACTAACGCGCGTGGCTTAGTCGTGAGACGAGCGCGGCTTCGTTCAGCGCATTTCCAGTGCACCGTGAGGCTCGCGCACCATCCTATGGTGCCGGTACTGATTCGCGCACAACCATCACACCACACAACGCAGGCAGCCGTCGAAGCCCCTACCTTCGCCGTGCGCCTGGCAGCAGCAGAGCAGCAGCAATAGTCCGAGCCGGAGCGCGGGCCGGAGCCCTGCGCTGGCCATTGCGGAGCTTGTCCTCCTCGTCTCCGGGTCTCGTGGCGCAGCTGTCCACGAGTGAACAGAGCCCGGCTTCAAATGACGGCAGTGCACCCACTCGTGCCGGACGCTAAGCTTTTATAGGCGACGAGCGCGCCGGCAGCCTCCTCTCCGCGCCTCGCGACCTTGGCCCCCGCGAAGAAGGCCGTTACGTCACTCGCGGACGACGCTCACCTGTCCGTACAACACCACCGCCAAGTACACATACCTGTGCCCTCTCGATGGAATGGCAAATACGCTTCAAGAATCAAAAGGCGGACCATCTCATCTTGTGAATTAAGATTGTAAGCTGATCGAGTTGGTTGGTGTTAAGGATAAATTTTAGGGGTGAAGCTCCTCTAACCTTGTCCTGCGTCAGGCGTGACCGGCAGTATCAAACAGACAGGCAGGCAAACAGATAGACAGACGGACGCACATACAGACAGACGGACGGATTGACATACAGACAGGCGGACAGACGGATGGACGGACGCTTTGCCTCACACACAATCATTCACTCCGTGGATATGCTGTGATTTTTCTGGTACAGTTCCCTCACGAGCAGGACGACGGATGGAAGAAGCAGACGAGAAAAGCGCTGCCTCTCAAGGGAAGCTTATTTTGAAAAAAAGGAACGCAAAGAAAAAAAAACTTTCGTACATAATCTTCATTTGAGAGCCAACGCCCGTCTCGGGTGTTGACTTCCGTCGTCCTACTCGTCACCGCTGCATGAAAAATTCATCTTCACCCGCAGCATTGAAGCAGTGTTTGTGGTGCACGACTGCTGAACTGAGGGTGGAGGGATCGCATCCACGCCGCCACATTTTCGATGGAGACAAAAACCACCAAGGCCCGTGTATTTATATTTTTAAGAGCAGGTTAAAGACCCACAAGAGGTGAAAATTACCGGAGCCTTCCACTTCTACGGCGTCTCTCATAATTATATGGTGGTTTTGTGGCGTTAACCCCAACAATTATTGTAATAAAAAATTAATCTTCTTATAGTCATTAATCTTGTCCCATCCCACCAATTTACTACAGAATAACAGTTTGTTAAAATTCAATGTATTTTGAGCAAACTTCGGCGACTTTGAGCGTATCTATCTATCTATCTATCTATCTATCTATCTATCTATCTATCTATCTATCTATCTATCTATCTATCTATCTATCTATCTATCTATCTATCTATCTATCTATCTATCTATCTATCTATCTATCTATCTATCTATCTATCTATCTATCTATCTATCTATCTATCTATCTATCTATCTATCTATCTATCTATCTATCTATCTATCTATCTATCTATCTAGCCGCTTACGTTTGGGTGCTCTTGTGGCCACCCCCTTAACTTGGCGTGAACAGAAATTAGCATGGGAGGCTAAGCTGGTTTGATGAATATGACGCGCTGATAAAGACATGAATAATGTCACAATCCCGTCACGTACGTCGTCAAACACTTACTGCCAGACAGTGGCACATACCCACGGTCGGGTATGTGCCGCTGGTATGTGGGTATGTGAAACAGGGGATTGACACCTAGTATCTACCCAGGAGCAATGAGAACACACATGAGCAATTTTAACGCGTGAGCGTTAAGAAATACCTGACATCAGTTGCGTCGACCCGAAGAATGCAAGGAATGAATGTTAGGGTCAGGTGGAATCGAACACAAGCATTCTGCGCGGCAATGAAGCATTTTACCACAGGTCTCGGAACTACTTTTCAAATAGACGCTAATCTTCGTGAAACGTCAATAGTGCTTGCAGTGCTGCCTACGCGATTTCATAAACCTCCCATATGTACTGCTTTGATACAGCCGTCACGTCGCGTTAGCGTCAATTGTGGTTAGTTGCCCTGCGCGGACGTTGATTTATGTAGCAGTGTCACGGGCCAGCATCCTCGCAAGCATCAGCGCTTCATGTCAGCTTCTGGTGTTGCTAATAAGCATGTCCCTGTTGGCATCGTTGCACAAGTGCAAACAACTGGTTATATGAACATCTGCAATTGTTCAACATATGTCTGCGGGCAACATTTGTGCGTATATTTAGCGTCATTTCATGACGTGTCGCTCAGTGAAAAAATTGCAACATGGTCACCTTTCCTCCGCATACTTCGCATATCATGGATTCCCAAGTACGTGGGATCTGCCGAATTTTAAAAATGGTGAGTATAAGATCGTCATTACTAGATTAAGCACGAAAACATCAACGCGAAGAATAGAAGGGACATAACACACTAGCACAAACGCTACCGCCGGTTTATTTCAAGCGACACCACTCCGATATAGGAAGAGAACACATGAAGATGTGTCACGGCCAGTTCCTTTTGAAGAAAGCGAAAAAAAGCAAGTGTATAATTAGGAAATACGTATAATTGATTGATATGGGGGGTTTAACGTCCCAAAACCACCATATGATTATGAGAGACGTCGTAGGGGAGGGCTCCGGAAATTATGACCCCCTGTGGTTTTTTAACGTGCACCCAAATCGGAGTACACGGGCCTACAACATTGCCGCCTTCATCGGAAACGCAGCCGCCGCTGTCGGGATTCGATCCCGTGACCTGCGGGTCAGCAGCCGAGTACCTTAGCTACCAGACAACCGCGGCAGGGCTAGGAAATACGCATATTTCAAAAAATACATGAAAGAAAGGACTGGCAATTTACGAGCTCATTCTTTTATGTTAGGCTAATTATTAATAAGAACTAAAGGACAGCGATGTATCGTGGAGCTGTCAAATGTTTTTTGTTTTTACTTACTCATCTATTCTTATTATATAGCTTAGTGTTTATGTTGTATATTTTTTATCCCGATCATTGTCGCCCCCCTCCCGTATGTATTGCCTTCAGGGCATCCGAATAAGCAAATGTCACTGCAAGTCTAGGGAAGCGTTATTCATAGAGAAACTGTAATAATATAATACATGAAGAAAGAAAAGCGGACAAAAAATGGCCCCGTATCTGCATGTTCGCTGCAAATGTCGTCGAAAGACTTCCGTGTGGAGAGAGTGAACAAAACATTTATTTCATGTTCCGTGCAAGAAAATCGGTTAATGGTATTCCAGAGGCACCGCGTTAGAGTGCCTCGAGCGTGCAGTGAAGGCGAACGAGCGCATCAAGTCACGTCACACGTGAGACATGAGCGTCATCTGGCAGTTTCTTTTAGGAAACAAAGCGCGGGGCCGTGCGCGCCCGTCTCAGAGGAGATAAGGCGTAGAACGCGAGGCGATGGGTAGGTGCCACCACCATCTTGTCTTAGCAAAACGTTGGAAACACTCCCCGTTTCGTGCAAGCGTTGCATTATAAGCGCAGCGTGATAAGCGCTACCGTCCTTAAAATTACCTATGTATGCGTTTTCTAGTGAGAGATGCATATGCAGAATACATGCGTGTTATTATGGTGCCCCAGACATACACAATAATTGCTTTTTAATTAATAATTGCACGAGCATGAACGCTCAACCTTGAGCAACATTAGTGGTCGCTGCGGATGGGGTCGACCGTTTCAAGATCCCGATGCCGGTAAATGTGGACAAACAGACAAATGTACAGACAGACTAAGATTTTTGCGTCGAAGGTGCCCAAGAAAGACTATCGTCTTTAAAATGACTGCATGTCCACGGTGTGAACGATGGAGAGTGGGGCGAAGCTGGGTCCACATGCCGCTGCCGCACTGTTGCGGCCTCTTGTTCTCGTACGCCGGGATCTTGTCGGCGCCGCCACGCAGCTTCACGGCACGTTTCTACCTTACGCGCTTGCACATCGGGGTCCCGTCTTCGAGCGCGAGCCGCCGCCGCCTTGCGCGCACGCCGCCTTGCGCGCACGCCGCTCTGCAGCCTTGTCCATCCGCAACTCTCAGAACGCCGTGCGCCAAAACGGCTTTTAAAGACGGTAGTCTTTCTTGGGGACCTTCGGCGCAAAAATTTTTGTCTGTCTGTCTGTCTGTCCGTCCGTCTGTCCGTCCGTCTGTCTGTCCGTCTGTCCGTCTGCCTGTCCGTCTGTCCGTCTGTTCGTCTGTCTGTCTGTTCGTCTGTCTGTCTGTTCGTCTGTCTGTCTGTCCGTCCGTCTGTCTGTCTGTCTGTCTGTCCGTCTGTCTGTCTGTCTGTCTGTTCATTTGCCTGTTTGCTCACTCTTAACGGTACCAGGTACTTGAAACGGCCAACCCCATCCGCAGCGTCCACCAATGTTGCTCAAGATTTAGCGTTCATACTTGTGGAATTGTCAATTATTAAGCAATTATTGCGCAAGTCTGGGGCACCATAACAACACGTATATATTCTGTATGTGAATCTTTTACTATAAAAGGCATACATAAGTAATTTTAAGGACCGTAGCGCTTATCACGCTGCATTGATCATGCAACGCCTGCACAAAAAGGTGAGTGCACATGTTTCCAACGCTTTGCTAAGACGCGATGGTGGTGGCACCTACACGTCGCCTTGCGTTCTACACCTTATCACCTCTGAGACAGGCGCGCACACCCCGTCTCAGAGCCACGCGCTTTGTTTTCGAAGAACACTGCCAGGTGGCGCTCATGTCTCACGTGTGACGTGACTTGAAGTGTTCGTTCGCCTCCGCTGCATGCTCGAGGCACTCTAACGAAGCGCCTCCAAAATACCATTCACCGATTTTCTTGTGCAGAACACCAAATAAATTGATGCACTCTCTCCGCACGCAAGACTATCGTCTTTTGACGACACAAGTTTGCAGATTACATGCAGATACGGGGCAATTTTCTATTTTACTACACCGTGCTCCCTAGCGCACGTCACCGCCGATGAACACGCGATCGCCAACGTCTTCGTGTGAGGTCATTCCTATTTTCTTGTGCGCTCGCACATCATGGTTCCGTCTTCGAGCGCGCGTCGCCACCACCCTGCGCGTATCATACTTTTAATCGCCAAACCGTGAATCATCCGCTGGCCACGTCCGTCCATCATCTGTCTGTCTGTCCGTTTGACACACAGATGGACCGAAGCATGCACGGACGCCTACATGGACACACGGACGGATGGATGGACGCACGAGAGGGCGGACGGATGGACGCATGAACAAGTGCACGAATGGACGGAC